CACGATGCAGGAAACCTTGCCAATAGTCGAAAGTTCTGGAAAGACTCTGGAATCACATCAACTGTCTCATTTGTGCAGTGTACGCCTGTGGCCGAAGGGCGGCCACTTCTTGAGTGGCCACTCGACACTTGGCCTTCTGAGGATTTCTGGTGACGTTGAAGAGTAATGTAAATGTTGTGAGAGAAAATAGAAAACTTTTGTTTTGTGCAGCTTGTTGGGACATTTAGATACAATGAGAGCGCACATTAATAAGAGAGCTTAGGTCAGTGGTAGAGTCTCTGATTCCAGATTGGCTGTATGCAGAGAAACGCGGGACGTGGACAACACACCCTTCTACGATGAACCAGCCGAAATTGCGCTGGACGCCGACTCGCAATCGCCCCACTTCTAATAGGTGGAATAATCGATGAAGGCACAGATTTTTTACCGCTCCCACACGTCTATGTTTTATTCTGCCTGATTCTCTTGAGTTACGCAATCTAGCGCCCCCTCCTGACTAAATAACGGTTCTCTGCTGAGTTTTTGCTCTTAAATTTCCCCAAGACACACACTTTGTATCGGGTCCTCCTCTGCTTGTTAAGACATTCAAACAGTTCTCTTTCGGCTGATTTATGAATATACGAGGAGGAGGGGAGAAGGCTATTTGTGGGCTACCAATAAAGTCAATAGGGGCATTCAAAGTTGAGGATTATAGGACCGCCTTTGGGCTCTTTTTTCGATTTTACGTGAGGTTTGGTTGAATAGCGACTTCAGAAGCGACTAAAATCGGCCACTCTGAATACTCGTGAGTCTTTATATGCGTGACTGAGTTCAAGCGCCGCCTCAATGCAACACGTGACAGACGGCACTCCCCTTCCCTTTGCCTCCACGTCGCTCGCCTATAAAGTGTGCCCCATTGTAGTGAATCTTCTGAACCACTGATATAGAAGTAACGACAGCATGCTTCTCGTAAGTGATGAATTTCCGTACAATGGAGTGATTGAAATCGAGTAGCCACATTCAAAGTTCGACTCTCCTGGCCAAAGCGCAACAGATGAGTGTGCTCGAGCGCTCGGTTACTGGCAGGGTGTGCACAACCAACTACTATCATCAATAACAGCCTATTCCGACGCATGTGCTCGCCTAGAACAGGCCTTCTTACGGCTCACACTCGAGTCTCATGGATCTAAGCTTGCTCACACGATCTCTTGTGTTGACGACTCCCTTCCGTCGCTGGACCAAGGCGTCCTTCAGCTGCAGAGCATACAAAATACCCTGAAACATTTAGAAGAAAGCTCTCATATGACTGCGCCAATTAACAATCTCCCTGCCGAAATACTGACTCGAATCTTTGCTCTTGCGAAGCCATGCGCTCTCCACTATTCCGCCTCCCACAGTGATCCTGGCCAGTTCTCAATCACTGACATTGCTTCTGTGTGTAGCTACTGGCGGAAGGTAGCGCTTGGGGCCCCTTTGTTGTGGTGTCACGTTGATCTTAGTGTTGGCAAAGATCATGATGCAAACCTTGCACTCTACGCAAGACAGGCTTTAGGTCGTGCCGGGAATCTGCCCTTGCATGTCCATCTAGGAGGCAGTGGCGAACACCTGGAGAATTATAGACTCCCAGCCCAGCTCCTGTTTCCTTTTGCACATCGAATTATTTCGCTTGACCTAGAACTTGATGTCAAGATAGCACAAATAATACTCCGTGACATCTTTCCTCCGGGGTATGGGAGCTCAATCCAAGAGCTCTATGTATGTGACAAGGATCGGGAGGGTCCCGAAAATTCAGGAAGTGGGTTCAACTTCCTAGGGGGAGAGCGAATTTCCAGTGATATACTATTGCCATTGTCAACCCTCCACCTGCGGGGTCTCCTTTTCAAGGCGTCTAGTCCCGCGCTTAAAGGGTTGACAGAATTGGTCCTCAATCCTTGCACCGCTCACACCCAATGGGCCTATTCTGAGCTTCGTTCAGTCCTGTTTTCCTGTCTGAAGCTTCGCTCCTTGGCCCTCATCCGATTGCGTCTCATAGCAGACAATTACCACGCACAAACAATTGATTTGAGCGAACTGGAGGTTCTGGACTTGCGCGGGAACAAATTCGAGGATGTATTGCATATACTTTCGTGGATTGACTCTCAATCTAATGCACTAAGCTTGAGTTTGAGCATCGGTAACGACCAGCCTGTAACCGAGCTGTACAAACTGCGTCATTTCACCGGGCGGTCTCATGTCGCCCGATTTTGCTTGCATATGAACTCTGGTATAGACCTCGATTTAGGGACCTTATCTTTAGTTTTAAGAGAACTGCTCCCCCTTGTCGAAGCGCTCGCTTTTCAAGAGAGCGCTGTTATCCACCGCACTAAAGGGCCGCCTCCACTGCCTACAGAGCACTTCCCTTGCTTGCATACTTTGCATCTCGTCGAGTGCAACCTAACTCCAAATGGTCTGCTACATCTCTTGCTTTCGTTTTCTGTTCAGAAAATACAAATCATGTCGACCCGCGCAGAGAATCTTGCTGAAGTCCGAAGGTTATGGGCAGATTGCAAAATCGCGCCAGCAGTCTCATTTGTGCAATGTACGCCTATAGCCGAGGGGCGGCCACTTCTTGAATGGCCACTTGACACATATCCTTAATTGTGGCGATCTTAACTATACAGCGTTCTAGTATTGCGTATCCCTTTTTATTTATGCCCAAATACTTGTTGGTCTATTGTTTTACTACTGTCAAGTGTGCAACTCAAATATAGCCGTTCATAGCTGATTTACAGACAATATTCTAGCGGTTTGAGAAATAGACGCCACACAAGATAAGTGATTTGTCGAACCTAATTATTAACTATTAGTTCGTGTCTACCTCTGAGTGTATGCGCTGATATGTGGTCCCTACAGAAAGGTTTATTGATCAATTAAATTGGTCGTTATATGCACGATTAATACAACGGGGGAGATCGGGCGCCTTCTGCCCAGCTAAATGCAACAACACCCGATTTTTCTTGCTGAAATTGAGCAATTGACGCAATGCTCAAGCAGACAAACCTGTTCAGACGGACTATCAGGTCGTGGACTTTGAGTGGAAGTGTCACGTGGCAAACCCAGCCCCCTTTCTCCGCATCGTCCATCTTCGCCTACGACATTAAATTCTTCAGCCGCGTTATCTTATGATCTCCGTGAGTGATTGGTTTCTTTTAACAGAATGATAATAAATGTGCATACATATAAAGCTTAACCTCCACTCCCGAAGCGCACCAGAAGAGTGCACCAGAGCGCTCACCCGCTGGCAGGATGCGCATGCTCATTTGCTACCAGCCATAGCGGACTATCTCAATGCTTGTGCTTGTTTACAAAGGGCTCTCTCACAGTCCACGTTCGAGTCTTGTGAATCTAAACTTGCTAGCGCTCTCTCCTGTGTTGACGACTCTCTCCCATCGCTAGACCAAGGCGCTTTCCAGCTACAAAGCGCGCAAAAAACCTTGAGATACTTACGAAATAGATCTCGTACGCTTGCGCCAATCAATACTCTCCCCGTCGAACTCCTGACTCGAATTTTTGCACTCGCAAAGTCATGCGCTCTCCACTCCTCCGCCTCACACAGTAATCCTGGCCGGTTCTCGGTCGGTAGTATTTCCTCTGTGTGTAGCTACTGGCGGAAAATAGCACTTGGGGCCAACTCACTATGGAACCATATCGATCTCAGCGTCGGTAAAGTTCAAAACGCAAACCTTGAGCTCTACGCTAGTGAATCATTAAATCGTGCTGGAAATCTACCCCTATATATCCACATGGCAGGCGACAGTCGATACCAAGCAACTCATCAGCGCCCAGCTCAGCTCCTAGCTCCTTTTGCGAATAGAATTCTTTCGCTCGACCTACAAATCAATATCCTCACAGCGCAAGCAATACTCCGTGGTATCTTTCGTCCCGGATGTGGTAGCTCGGTCCAAGAGCTTTATATATACGACGAGGATGGCGATGATTACGAAATAGCGGAAGGGGGATTTAACTTTCTAGGAGGGGACCAAGTCTTCAGCGACTTGCTATCGTCATTGACAACATTCCACCTACGGGGTCTCCTCTTCAACGCCTCCAGTCCTGTATTTAAAGGGCTGACAGAACTAGTTCTCAAGCCTTACCCCGATGGCACCGAGTGGTCTTACTCTGAACTTCATTCCGTCCTGTCTTCCTCTCCGAAGCTTCGCTCCTTGACCCTTATCAGGTTACATCTCAGAGTGGACAATTACCACCTGCAGGTGGTTGATTTGGGAGAGCTCGAAGTTCTTGACTTGCGCGGGAACGAGTTTAAACACGTACTCCCTATACTTTCGTGGATTGACTGCGGATCCAATGCGCTAAGCTTGAGCCTGAGCGTCGGTAATGACCAGCCCATGAACGAGTTATTTCAACTCCGCAATTTCATCGAACGATCCCATGTCACTCGATTTTGCTTGCATATGGACTATGGCAGAGTGCTCGATTTAGGAATCTTGTCGTCATTCCTGAAGGACCTGCTTCCTCTCGTCGAAGAGCTTGCGTTTCAAGAGAACACATTTACCCATCACACTGAAGGCCCTCTCCCTCTCCGAGCTGAGTACTTTCCTCGGTTGCACGCCCTCCATCTTGTCGAGTGCAGTCTGACTCCGAATGCTCTGCGGCATCTCTTGCTCTCATCCTCGATACAGAAAGTTAAAGTTATGTCAACCGACTTAGATCACCTCGCTGGGGTTGAAATATTGTGGAAAGACTCTAAGTTTGCGTGGGTTGTTTCATTTGTACAGTGTACGCCTGTAGCCGAGGGACGCCCACTTCTTGAGTGGCCACTTGATACTTATCCTTAGTTGTATTTACCTCAGCTTTACGGCGTTCTGATATTATTTATTTCGTCATTCATGCCCAAGTATCTACCCGGTCCGGTCACTTTCTAGTCAAGTTGATAAACATGGGATCTTGTACAGGAAATGAACAGCCATTGTTTTACTTAATAGAACTGGCCTTATATCTACAAAAGCCGCCTTCATGAGCAAGACCGCTTAGCTCAGTGGTAGAGCGTGTGATTCCAGAACCGCTGTTTGCGGCGAATCGGTGCATCCACAAGGTCGTCCGTTCAATCCGGGCAGTGGTCAATTACTTTTTAGGCCTGATCTTTTGATACATGACCTACAGATAACCACCACACCACACAGCAATGTCCGAGTCTGCAGCAAACCCGCCACCACGCTCCCGAGTGGCTGTCATCACAGGAGCTGGTCAAGGTGTGTAATAGGCCCAAATCCCGTTAACTACGCTTACAATAATAGCGTAGGAATCGGCCGAGCTATCGCGCAAAGTAAGTCTCATTATTAGCGCAGACGCCTCAACTAATCGACGGTTCGGATGCTCTAGAATTCGCATCAGAAGGATATCTACTCGCCCTTGGAGATCTGGCTTCAAATCAGACCCAACTAGGTCAGGTCGCAAGCGAATGCACCATCATTCAAAAAGGTTTAAATATTCCCGAGTTCACACCACAAGTATACCATTGCTCGTGCGATGTATCCGTCGAGTCGCAAGTAGAATCGTTGGTTCAAGCTGCGCTGACCACGCTCGGTGGGATTGACGTGGTAGGTGTGTCCGCTCACTATAATCGAACATGATCCGGAAAGTACTTGTATGCAGATGGTGGCAAACGCAGGAATCTACAAGGACGCCCCTTTACTTGAAAGTATGTACAAACCCAAAATCTTCCTCACTGTACTAACCTGATCGTTTACAATGTCAAGCATCTGATGAAATGTTCGACCAGTTGTATGCGGTCAACATCAAAGGGGTTCTGTATAGCTATCGAGCAGCCGCACGAGCGATGATTCCACGCGGCAGTGGCCGTATTATCGGAGCATCCAGTGTTTCCGGAAAAGGGGGCGAATTTAACAAGGGGGCGTATTGTGCAAGCAAAGCCGCAGTCCGTTCATTGACTCAAACCGCGGCGCGGGAGTGGGGCCGGCATGGCATCACTGTCAACGCCTATGCGCCTGGGCCGGTCGATACGGACATGTGTAGGAGCGCTCTCGAATTTTAGTGGCTAGAGTCTCATACAAGTTTACAGGGAATAAGGACGTCCTGGGCGGTGTTACAGGTGGTGGTGGTGCAAGTCTGTTACTGGATCAATGCTGGCAATCACTCACCTAGCCTTTTCAGGTCCTGGATCGGTTGGTTACAGGCAAAATTAGTTCGCCAGATGAAATCGCGGGTCTTGTTTCGTTCCTAGCGAGTCCGGCAGCAACGAACATCACAGGTATGCCTCGAGCGCATGCAGCATTCATCAGACACGTACTTATATAATTGAGGTTTAAGGCCAAGCTATATCTATCAATGGAGGATTGTATATGGAATGAGATGTTGGACTCAGCCGTCTTAAAAGCGTTTGGCACTCAGGAGACTCGATGCACGCACAGGTAAATTTTGTGACATGGCATGGGCATGGAGGAGCATACAACAAGTGAGAATGACACAGCGCGAAACCATAAACAATCCAAACCGTTTAACCCCTCTTCTTGGACACACCAACGGTCTTTCCCCGACGACCTGTCGCCCGAAAGACAATAAGTAAATGTGCCACGAAGCGACAAAAGAGATTCGCTCGTACCGGTGGTCTTGGTGTGCTGCCCGCGCACACGGAGGCCCCAGTAGTGTCGGAGACCACGGTGCGCTCGGATCTTCTTCAGGCGCTCAAGATCGTCACGCATCTTCGAGTCGATGGCGTTGGACAAAATCTGAGAGTTCTTTCCGTCAATGATGTCCTTTTGCCTGTTCAGGAACCAGGTGGGGATCTTGAACTGGGTCGGGTTCTGCATGATGGTAACGATACGCTCGAGCTCATCGGAGTTGAGGTCACCGGCGCTGGAAGAGATGAGGGGGGTAAGTTCGCGTCAGGGAAACAAGCTCTGAAGGACGCGTACCGCTTCTTCAGGTCAACGTCAGCCTTCTTGCAGACGACGTTGGCATATCGTCGACCGACACCACGAATCTCGGTCAGAGCTACGATCAAGGAACCAGGTATATTAGCTCTCGAGCTGCCAGAGCTGTCAGAGGGTCAGACGCACCGTACATGATCTTGCGCTTTCCATCGACGTTAGTGTTCAGCAGACGCAAAATGTGCTAGTTAAATAAGTCGTTATATCAGCACACAATTCAATAGCCACAGTTCTGTGAACCATACCTGGAACTGTTGGTGGGCCTCGGGGACGACCAGGGACATGATGGCGATGTCTTAGTGTGTCGGTTTCTAGGGCAGCCAGCAAAGAACGACGGGTCAGCAGCACGTTCGTATAACTCGCCTGATCAATCCATCCACACATCCATGTATCCATCCACCCACTCCCTCAATCCCTGCCCATTCACTCCGTTTCTATCTCTCCCAACAGCATAGATTTCCTACAGCACGGAATTTTGACGCAAAACGGACTGGCATACTGACTTTAGGGCGTTGGCGTCGGCACAAGCGATGAGCTCAAGGATCGGTCAACAATTCTGATTCCGGGTTGATGAACCAATCATCCACAAACATGCCACTAGGATCACGTGCGATTATTGGTAGACATCTTTATTATATTCAAGTTGAACAAAATTGTATTGGTTCAGTGTAGTATGGTTGATTCAAGGCAAAGCACGCTCTAAAACATAAAAACTCATAGTACGAAGCTCAAGCGGCCTTGGTGGTGGCTGCCACATATGTCTCCTCCGCAACCTTGACTGCTTCAGCAATCTTGTCAACGTTGGTACCTACACCCTGTGCAGAGTCATCCTTTCCTCCGCCCTACATGAGTATGGTCAGTCATAGTACGACGCCGAAAGCAAAGGCAAAACAGACCTTGCCGCCAAGAATTGTAGAAACCTTCGTCGCCCATACCCTTGCGTCGAACTCTTTACTAACGATAGCCTTGGGCAGGAAGTTTACATGTGTAACCTTCCCTGCACCGACGTCCGCACTGAACACGTATACGGGTTTGTTAAGTTTGCGCGCCTCGCCGATCAGTGTTTGTAGGACCTATATCTACCATGTCAACCGCCTGAATGCGTTGGGAACTACTAGGAACCGACCTTGGCGTTGCCGTCAACATCAGGCAGATCCACAAAGTACCCAGGCGCGTTTGGTTTCTCCTCAAAGAACTTCTTGAGCCCCTCAAGCGCCTATACCACCATCCAAGTCAAACCCGCCATTCGTACACAATGTTTGAAATGAGACTTACAGCCTTGGACGCAGCAGCAGCTTTTGCCTTGCCTTTCTCGTCAAACGATTTGCGTACCCGCGCAAACTTGTCCTTCAGCTCGGCCTTGCGCAGCACCGAGATATCAGCCTTGTCTAGCTCAACAGTATATGTGCGCAGTGCCGCATCCTCAGGCGACTTCTCGAGTGCATCGAGTCGTGCACGCAACCCATCTGCGATGCGCGTGACCTCAGCAGCCTCATGTCCTGTGACGGCGGTAATACGGCGGATGCCCTTGGCAATACCGGATTCCTCGGTGATGACGATAGACTTGATATCTCCAGTCTTGTTCACGTGCCTGGAGTTGGGTTAGCTATAGGTTTGTCGACAAACTGTAGATTGGACGTACGTGCCACCGCAAAACTCGACACTTGCGCCTCTCCACTTCTCATTTGTTGGGTCCTTCAAGATTTCCTCAACGGTGGCTCCGAGGGCGACAACTCGCACAGGGTCGGGGTACGCCTCGCCGAAGACTGCACGCAGCCCGTTGACCTCGAAGCCTTTCTGAAGCCCAACATCGGCAGAGTTCACCTTCTCGTTACGCGCAACCCAGTCCAAGTTCGACTGCTCAATCTTAGCAAGCTCAGGGAGTGTGATTTGTTGCTTGTGTGAGAAGTCAAAGCGGAGCTTGGTCGGTGCGACTAGGGATCCTTTTTGGTCGATGTGGTCTCCGAGGGCATCACGTAGAGACCAGTTGAGGATGTGTGTCGCGGTGTGGTTGTTGCGCAGTGGCCAGCGGCGGAGCTATCAAGGTGTTAGGAGTTATATGCGTAACTAAAGTTTCAGGACCCTCACCTCATCATAACTCGCAACAACGGCGTCTCCAACTTTAAGTTCGCCGTACTTGATAATTCCAGTGTGAAGAACGTAGCCCTTGAATACTTGGACGTTCTCAACTGCGAACTCCGCTACGCCATCAATGACAATGCTGCCCATATCGTACTCCTGTCCACCAGACTCCGCATACATGCAGGTCTTGTCGAGCAAAATGCCAACCGTTTCCGATGTGTCTGAGGACAGGCTGGTAATGAACTTTTGTGTGGGGTGGTATATCGCCTTGATCTGCGCATCAACGTTGCCGAACACTAACAAGGTCTATTAGCCCCGAGCGTGGGCGGTCAGGGCAGGTACTCACAGTACTTGGCACTATCATCGGTTTTTGGTACAGTTCCCTCCTTCTCCAGAGCTCCAAGATCATGTACGTCGAGCTTGACGACCTCACCAACAACCTTCTTCCCACCCTTGCTTGCCTCCTTACTGGCAGCCTGCGCAGCCTCAAACTCTGCGTCGCTGACACTAAGGCCTAGTTCTTCAGCCATGAGACGGGTAAGATCAACTGGGAACCCGTAGGTGTCGTATAGGCGCCACACGTCTCGTCCGTTGAGTTCTTTCGATTTAGAAGCAAGCGCAGCCTGAGCGTATACCTCAAAGAGTTTCTCGCCTCGGTCCAGCGTGCGAGAGAATGATTCCTCCTCTTCGTCGAGGATCTCTTTGATGTCTGCGACCTTTTTGTTTAGCTCGGGGAAGAAGTCGCCCTGCAAAAGCCTAGTCAAGAACTGGTTCATCCCGCAACGCGAACCACACTCACTAGTTGCTCGACGACCGTTGGGACAAGTTCACCAAAGAACGTTCCAATAGGCACGCCGAACTTCTTTCGCACATATCGAGCCCCTCGCCTCAAAATTCGCCTCAAGACATATCCTCGTCCGACGTTATTAGGCACCCCACCGTCACTCAACGCAAACGTGAGCGTCCGCACGTGATCGGCGACAACGCGATAAGCGGTATCGATCCCATCCACATCCTCCGCACCAAGCTTGCCGGTATAAGCGCGGGCCCCAGTCATTTCCTGGATGCGCGCAAACAACGGGGCAAACACG